GGACAGATGATCTGTGTGCCACAAGGGCTGGCGGCGCCTCCAGGGCTGGTCTCTGGGCGAGGGTGATGGTGAGGGGTGGAACAGGGCTGGGCCACCGGCCTCCTGTCCTACCCCTGACGAACTCTGGCTGGTCTCCCCGCCCGGCCAGACCCCCTCCCTGCCCCCCACCCAGCCCATGGCAGAGGCTGCCCCTTGGAGCGGGCACCAGGCTGGGTGTCCACCCTCTTGTCCCCTCTCGCATGCGCCTCTCCCTGGGGGCTGCGGACCCAGCTTCATGGAACCCTCCAGAACAGCTGTGGAAATAGCGTGGGAGGAGGGAGCGCATCACACCCAGCTCCACAGGAGGAACAGGAGCCAGCCAGACCCCCGTGGGCCTGGTTGTGCGTGCAGCCGCTGCGGGGGTGGGGGTGCCCCAGTCACGCAAATGGCATGGCAATGGGCAGCCCCCTGGCAGGGCACCCATGTTGAAATGCGGTCACTGTGAACCCTATGTGACGTGGTCCTCCAAATGCCACCCGCACGTGCGCCAAGAGCACCCCCCGTGTGGGAGCAAAGGCCATGTCCCACCAGTCCTGTAAGACCCTGGAGGGACAGGACCACTGCAGCTGGGCCAGCGGCCACTCATCCTCTCTGTTGGGGGGACACCAGGCCAGGTTGCAGAGAAGATCCACAGACCACAGCCCTAGGGCTCCCCTGCCTCATTTTGGACATGGTGTGGGCTGGAGAGGACTTGGGACGTGACTGACCGCCTGAGCCCTGGAAGGGAGTGCTGCCGGGCCAGGGCTTATAGGGGAACTGAGACCCAGGAAGGTTGGCTCTGTCCCCTCCCTCCAGGTGTTCCTGTGTCACCGCTGTCCACCCTACCAGGCAGCAGATCTCCGAACCAGGCCGACAGTGGAACTAATGGAAACCACAGCTCCGAGCAGGCCTGCCTGGGAGGTCCTTCTTGGCATGTGCTGGGCCGCAGGGGCCGCTGGGAAGCACAGCCACTGGGCCTGGGATCCTGCATGACTCTGCTCTCCCAGCAAGGAGTCCCCACGGCCTCCTGGGCCCAGGTCTCAGGGTGGCCCTCCTTGTTTGGGGGGGCTGAGTCCTCCAGCTGTGCCAGCCCCTCCCCCTCTTCGTGGTTTGCTCCTTGACGCATCTCAACGTCACCTTCAGTGCATCTGGAGGGCAGCACTGGGAGGTCTTCACAGCCTGAGGGATGCTAGAGGGTCCCCCAAGAGTGGGTGCGGGTGCGAGGGCATCAACAGCTGCAAGGCGGGCTGACTCTGCCCTGTGGCCAAGGAAGCCATGCAGCCAGCATAGGCAGCATAGTCAGAAACAGGTGCCCCATCCAGGCTGGATGCCCCCCTACCCAGGTCAAACACCTCCCCCAGTCTGGATGTCCCCTCCCACCCAGATGGCTCCCCCAGCTTGGACACCTCCCCCTCAGCCTGAACGTTCCATACACCAGCCTGGACACCCTTCCCCCTAGCCCAGACACCCGCCCCCATCCGGTCTGGACCCCCTTCCCTCCCCAGGCCAGATGTCTTCCCACCCAGGCTGGACCTCTCCCCACTTGAATTGGCTGCCAAGTGCCTGCATCTCAGCACAATCTTGATCACGCCACAAGGGAAGCACATGAGGCCCGGAGGCTCTGACTGTGACCCTTCAGTGGGTGATGGATAAACAGACAGTGGGGAATGGTCAGTGTCAACAAGAAAGGGGTGGCCAAGCCGTGGGAAGCATCACTGCCTGCCACCAAGGGAGGGAAGCTGCCTGAAAGGCGCGCGGATGGCTCTAGCCATAGTAAAGGCAGAACTAGGGAGATGTGAGGGCCGTGGGTGGAGGGCTGGGGATGGAGAGTGGAGCGGGGGGGTTCTGGATGAGAACCCCTGCAGTGGGGGCCATGCAGCAGTGCACACCCGTCCAAGTCCACAGAAGGGACACCACCACCAGGGAGCCCTCCTGGAAGCCACAGACTTCACTTGACAATCAGTCAGTATCAGGTCAGCCACAAGCAGGGTGTTCATGCAGGGGAAGCTGTGGGGCCATAGGAACCCTCTGTAGTCTCCGCATGATCATTTTACAGAAAACGGTTCTAAAAGAAGTTCGTTAATTAAAAAAGCAAAACAGAGCTAAAACCTTGGTGCACTGAGGGCAAGTGGGTCGGGAGGAGGGCTGGACGTGCTGGGACCGGAGGTGGCTGTGCCAGCTACTGCTGCTGACTCAGAGACCCAGCAAGCCCGCTGAGTGCACAGTCACCGAGAGACAGGGTGTCCTGCTAACCGCAAGAGGGAAAGCAACAGAGCGAGGCATGCTCAGGAGAAAGATGGAAAGACAAGAGAGCCCACGGTCAGAAACATGGTGGTGGGCCTGGTACATCAGCTGAGCGGCTGTACGTGCCACTTCACAGAGAAGGACTGCAGATCCGTGTGAAGCACAGAAGTTCGCTCTTTGCTGTGTCAAGACAAACTTCAGGTTAGTGACACATCTGAAAAAAGGGAGCTCACAACCCAGATTCTGTAAAGTAAGAGAACATTATGACCTTTTTCTTGGCCAACATGAGCTCCCAGGACAACGTTTACTGCTGAACCTGCCTCAAGAAGACACGGAGGACCCATGTCCTATGGCCATCAGCAGTGCCGGGCCTACTGTCACAGGCAGCCTCATGCCTGGTGGTTTCCTGGGGCTCAAGGATGGGTCACTGTGTTTCCACGAATTCCCCCAGAGGAGGAGGACGTCACCATACTGGGACATGCCCTCAACAACAGACCCAGAGAGGGCGGGCCAGACAGGGCAGTTGCAGACATGTGCCTTCAGTGGGAGTAAGCAAGACCCAAGGACACCAACAGGTGAAGCCCCGTGGCCTGCCAGAACACACGCACCAGGCCAAGCTGTACCAACTCTGGGCATGGGACCAGCCAGCAGCACTGGTCAAGCTGTACCAACTCTGGGCATGGGACCAGCCAGCAGCACTGGTGTAATCACCATGGAGTAGATGGAGAAGAGAGATCTTCTCAGAGCTGGTGGGGAAACACCTGCTGGAATCCAGCATCCATCCACAATTCAGGAAGCCGCAAACCAAACACAGCCAGGGATTCCTAGGGAACTGGGACAGAGTGGACTTGGTAACACAGCCACAGCACACGCACACCCCCTCGGCCAGCAATGCAGGAGGCAGGGGGCGAGGGGATCCTACCCTGTGACCCAGGGCAAGGAAGGGGGCACAAGGGCCAGGCACTCACGGGGGTATGGCCTTGTTGGTGTGAGGGCCTCCGGGTCTGTGTAGACCATAGCAGGAGGACTTGAGCAGAGGCCAAGGAGCAAGGGGCATGCCAAGGCATGGTAGTACATGCTCCAGCAGAGGGAGGAGTCCCTGCAAAACGGTACTGTCTACATGACAAAGGCGACAACCGCACCCAAGTACCTAGAACATGACGACGTGGGTACCAGGGAAGGACTCTGAAACCTTGTAATCAGGGGATGGTTACGGTTCAACAGGAATGCAGCTTGCAGCATGCCAGTCCTTCCCAGCTGGATTCAGTCTGCACTGTTACTCATCAGGGAAGTCAAACTCCTCCAAGCTAGTCCCTCGAGTGGCCACTGTAGAAGAGGCTGCCAGCCTCCCACGTAGCCACCATGGAAGAGACTGATGAGGATGGGGGGAGCAGGAGCTCTAGGCCCTGCCGGAGAGAGGGTTGAAAATGCACAGCCACTTCAGGACACAGGCCGGTTCTCATGAAGGGAACCACACGCCTTGTCCCGAGAGTAGCGTCTTGACAACATCCACGCAGATGAGCGTGTGTTCACAGCAGGCCAAACCAAAACCGGAACCCACCCTGAGTCCGCAACAGGAGGATGGACGAGCCGACTGTAGGCGCTCATGCAGTGGGACAGAACTCAGCCAGAGAAGGGCACATATCTGACATGTTCTGGCCCTCCCCGACCCTGTGTGACCCTGCGGTGCTGCTGAGGGTGCTGTCCACAGAGGACGGCCGCAGGCACGGAGCAGGGTGCGGGGTTTAGGTGGGTGGCCAAGGTGGGGCTATGTGGGGACCCTGTCACATGGGTATTGCACCCAGTTGCGCTAGCTTGTGGGAACATGGTGAGCACGTGCCTGCAGGGAGCGATGCCTCCGTCAAAGCCGGTGGTAAGGGATACATGGGCTGGGAAACCCCAACCAGATTTTCTGGGAACGGACAATTGAGTCGTCATGTTTATGGGGAAAAGCCGAGGCCCAATGATGGCCAAGAGCCTCCTGGGGAAGTGAGGGTGCTGCGCAGTCCCAGGCGGCTCCTTCAACTAGGACCGTTGGGGGGCACGGCGAGTGACCACGGGAGTGCAGTGGGTCTTGTGGGAGACAGCACCCATTCATGGAGATACGGAGCCTCTCCCTGGGCCCTGCCTGGTGGGCTGCCATCACGTGAGTGGAAGGAAACCTTTAGAACTTGAGAGCCTTCAGGGCTGGCTCCCAGCCACGTGGAGAACTTCCACATGGGCCTTGGCATGCCTGATCCGGTCCCGCAGGCTGAGCCTGCTGCCCTCTCGCTGTTGCAGGACACGCTGTCTTGGAGGAGCTGTCCCTGTCCTAAAGGAGGCTGGGAAGGAGAGCCTCAGCCCTCAGGCCGGATGGGGTGCAGGGGCCCATGGGGGATGAGGAGGTGAGGTCCCAGCACTATTGCAGGCTGGGAGAACTGATGGCCTGAGGGGCCTGTGACAGGGGTCAGCCAGAAACAGTGAGACGGGTTGGCATCTTCTTTGGATATGGGGGAAGGGCGAGGGATGCAGGGGAACAGGGAAGGGACACAGGACATGGGGGTGGTGGGGACATGGAAGGACATGGGAACAGGGTGGGGGACACAAAGGGTATGGGGATACAGTGGACACAGGAGACAGGGTGGGGATACAGGACATGGGGGGATGTGTATGGGGATGTGGGGGGTATACGGGAGACCATGGGGGCAGGGCGGGGCACACGGAGACAACAGGGTGACCCTGCAGGGTCTGCAGGTTACCTGGAATAGCACTTGCAGTGCTCCGTGCAACACGCACATCTGCCGCCCGAGAAAGAGGAAGAAGGGCACCAGGAGCTCCAGGAAGTGGGTGCTGAGCGTCTCGGCGCGGTGGAACCACCAGGGCAGGTGGTGCAGGTAGTAGGCCAGAGGGTTGGGCACCGGCTGGGTCTGCAGGGATAGGAGGGGCATGAGCCTGGCCGATGGGGGTGCGGGGTAGGCATGTTAGCCAGTGCACCCCAGACCCTAGCCCCGCCCACAAGGGCCCCCGCTTGCTGACCCTGTGTGTGCAGGGCCCACCTTGCCAGGAGAAAAGAGCCAGGGAGCTTTGGGAGAAGGTGGTTTTGAAGCAAAAGCAAATGCTTTATCTCTGTTTCCAAACCTTCACCCTGAAGCAGCCATGATGCCCTTCAGTCACCAGTGCCTCATGGACCATACAAGCAGGTTGGGGACCCGTGACCTGAGGACACAATAGCTGTGCCACACCACCAGGCCTGGCACCCCTCCGGCGTGTCCTCTGACTGGTAGGACGGCTGCCCAGGGCACATGGCCAGGCTCAGGCTACGGCTGTCCCCTCCAGCTTGGCAGGCTGTGGGCCTCTCTGCACCGGGGTCTCCTTTGCCCTCCTCCAGGGGATATTCTGAATGTGGCCAGGGCTGGAGCACAGGGATCGAGGGCAGGGACAGCGGTCACTCATCTGCAGCCAGAAGGACACAGTGCAGGCCGTAGAAGCCAGGCTGCAGGGACGCCTTGGAGCCTCCCAGGCCTGGTGATGAAGCAGGGGCCCTGAAAGCCCCCACCAGTAGCCTGTCAGTAGAACAGAGGCTTGCCTGGCACTAAAATTCAGAGCTACGTGCAGACTTGTCTTCAGTGGGATGCCTGGAGACATCCAGGTGGGCAAATAGTGACCTGGTGGGCCACACACTGTTCCCCTGAGGCTGGTCAAGAGATGCTGAGTGGCATTTCTGGGATCACCTGGCCAGCATGCTGGCTGTGGCAACTGGGGGTGGCGGTGAGCACACCAGCAGGGGAGACACCGCCCACTCAGCTGGCTCCGAGGGGTCCGGCCACAGAAGCCTTGCCTGCACAGCAAGGGCGACCCGCTCAAGGGCCTGGCGACACCACGTCACTGACACCCTGGCCTGGAGAGATGCTTGCTGGGCTCCCTCCTCTGCGGGGCACCAGGGGCTGTATTGGATCAGGTGGTGGGAGAGATGCCCGGCAGGGGGTACACAGGCAAGGGCCTTCACACTGTCCACGTACCACAGCCTGGTCTGAGCAGAGTGCAACTCCGAGACTATGGTCGAAGGGCCCCCGGCATGCCGACAGGCCAGGAGTAAACCCACACAACTCATCCACACCCAGCCTGGAGCACTTGTGTGGCTGCCAGCAGGCACCAGGCCGTTTTCTGATGTGGTTTCATCTCTTTTCGCTTCTGGGTTTCGTGGCTCATGTATACAGGGGCGTCTGGAATCACAGTGTTGAATCCACACCCCTGGGAAAGGCCTCTTTTCTCTGGACCTGAGTGGTGTTGTGGCCCTAGCTGGGGGAGGCACGGCTGCCGCTGGGCCTTGGGACTCTAAGGATGGGACAGGATGATACTTCACCCCGTCGCCTCTGACAACACAGCCTCTGACCCAGAGCAGACCCGGGAGGGGCGGCCACGGTTGGTGTGGGGCTTGGACACGGGCTGGGCACACACGGTCTCTCAACAGAGGAAGGATGCCACCCCATTTAATAAGATGGTCATGTGACTGCAAATTAATTGCATTTCCAATGTACACGGTGCTCATCGGCTTGGAAGGTGAAGTGCCATAAAGGAGTCAAGCGTGCTCGGCCAGGTCATGAGGGGGCACGGGAGGCTCCGGGGGGCACTGGAGCTCTGAGCTCCGCAGGAGACTCTGTGCCCGTGTCCCTTTGGGCCTCACTGTGTCCCATGAAACGAGGATGAACACACTGCTGGCATCAGCATGGCTGGTGTGACAGGGTTCCTTGCAAGGGGATCTGCTGTCAGGGGCCTGGGCTCCCCAAAGGGCACCTCGTCCCAGCTCTGTCTGTGAATGGACGGCCTACCCGTGTCCAGCAGGCCCTGCCAGTGCACAGACCCCTTTAGGCATGGGCTCAGGGTGTTCTGAGAGCCACCTGGCGGGAGGGCCCTAAGGCATCCATGCTCCACAGGTCTAGGGATGAAGTTTTTTGTTTGCACTAAGGCTGAAGAAAATCATCATAGCATAAACTTGGGTGTAAACTGTGGTGGCAGGCGGCCCCATTACACCCTGTAGAGTCTGGAGATTGTCATGTGGATGGGGCCCTTGGCCAGCTCGTGGGTGAAAATGATGGTGTGCTGACACTGTACTAGCTCTGAGCATGGGATGCAGACTCAGCCAGCTCAGTTCAAGTCATGTTTTATTAACCTGTTCTCTTAAAAAGAGACAATTTTATTTATTTATCTACTTTTTTTTTTGAGTCGGGGTCTCATTCCATTGCCCAGGCTTGAGTGCAGTGGCACGCTCTCGCCTACTGCAACTTTGACCTGCTAGGCTCCGGCGATCCCTCAGCCTCAGCCTTCCAAGTAGCCGGAACTGCAGGCAAGTGCTACCACGCCTGGTCAATTTTTAGTTATTGTAGAGACGAGGTCTCACCAAGTTACCCGGGCTGGTCTTGAACTCATAGGTCCAGGCAATTCACTCGCCTCGGCCTCCCAAAGTGCTGGGATGACAGGCTGAGTCACCGAGCCCAGCCAAAAGAGACAATTTTAAATAAGCAAAACCCAAGGGAAGTATGCAGGTGATGATGACTATTAGGGGTTTGGAAGCAGATCCTGGGGAGCAAGTGTATTCCTGCTGGGTCTGAGCTCTACCTGTGAGATTCACCCTCCAGGTCTGGAAAAAAGCCAAGAACAGAAACATCTGGCCCACTGTTTCCCATCCTAGGGGCTAAATGATGTTTCTGGGGTTTTTTTTGGCTTTTTTTTTTTAGTTGGAGTCTCACTCTGTTACCCAGACTGAAGTGCAGTGGCCGCTCCCAGCCACCGCAGCCTCAACCCGCTGGGCTCCGGTGATCCTTCTGCCTCAACCTTCCGAGTAGCTGAAACTACAGGCGCACGCTACCACGCCCGGCTAATTTTTTAATTTATTGTAGAGATGAGGTCTCGCCAAGTTGCCCAGGCGGGTCTCAAACCTGTGGGTTCAGGTAGTCCACTCACCTCAGCCTCCCAAAGGTGTGGGATTACAGGCTGAGCCACTGAGCCTGGCTGTTTCTGGGGTTTTAACGAGAATGGAGATGCACGTAATTCTTGTCTGCGCAAGTTTCCCAAAAGCCTCAAGCCCCACGTGTGCAGTTTCAACTGTAAACTTGGGCCTGGCAGCCTTCTAATCCTCATGACACTCCCTGACCTGGGGATGGGCTGGGAGACCTCATGGGAGGGTGGCAGGCTTCAGGGGCACACAGGAAACACTCTGAAGGCCAAGGTTGAGGCCTCATCTTTTGGGGCCTCTCCTCTTCCCTTGCGTATGAGTCACTGACATGGTCCAGGGACTGAGGTGTCTGCGTGGCTGCCCCTCATGGGGAGGGAAGAGGAGGTGGTTCACACTTATGAAGTGAGGCTCCCAGATGAAGGGGGAGGCCCTATGTGTACTCCAGGACAGACCGATGACAAACATGCCTGTGGTAACAGGCCCAAAGTGGTGACCACTACCGGCTCTCAGCATCTGGCACCAGACGGCAGGTGCATGGCAGGGACACCCTCATGAGTGTATGTCTTGTGGCAGGAGGCTCCCTGGGTTGCTTCCATTCTCACCAAGTGACAGAGATGGGGAGAAGAGAAAAATAAGCTCCAAAGATGGGGAACAATAGCAGACAAGGTGGAGATGGTCAGAACACCAGGCCCGCCCATGTGGTAGGCCCCAGGACAGCTACCAGTGCAGCTCTGTGCCTGGAAGTGTGTCCCACGAGACCACAGGAAGAGACTCACATCCCATCCCTGAGTCCTGCTGACCTGGGGACATGATCTGGCTGAGGGAACACAGTGCACATGATGTGCTGGAGCTCCCAGCACGGGCCATGAAGACAGGCAGATCCAGCCCCTGTGAATGTCTTGCTGTGAAGGCCATGGAGCTGTGAGGAAGCCCACATTGTCCATGTGGCCAGGCCACAGGAAGCAGCACTTGAGTGGGGCCTCCTGGAGCTCCTGGCCTGCCCTCGGCAACTGTGTGACCCACCTGACACTGCAGCAGAAGAACCACCTGCAGAGCCCAGCCACCTACAGAGTCAGGACAACACTGATGCTGTTTCCAGTTGCCAGGTTTGGGGGCACAGCAGCAGGTGCCCACAGTGGTCTGAATCCAGACACCAAACACAGTAGTGGATTCTGACATTAGTGGGAAAGCCCGTTTTGGAGAAATTCAAGTGAAAGCTGTCCTGATTCTTTGGGTACCAGACACCAGTGCTGATAGCACACACCCCTCCCCACAGAGCTCAGCATTCACAGTCGTGTAAACCTCTGCATGCCCTAGGAATACACTCGGATCAACACGGATGTGGGGGAATCTCAGTACAGAACTCAAGCTGCCCACCAGCACATGCATCCCTGCTTCTCCTCTGAGTTGCCGAGTGTTTCAGTGTCGTGGACACTCCCCACCCCTTACCCAGCTAGGACAGCCAAGTCTAGACCCTGGAAAACTGGCCAACCCTGCTCGCCAGGCATCTGTGCCTGGAAGTGAAGGAACAGTGGCCAAGAGACCCCAACGTGGATGGTGCGGGGCCCATCCCCCCACACGGGTGTGAACTCCAGGAACAGCAGAGGCAGATAGATGCCCGCTGCCTTGGTGCTGCTGGGTGGCCCTCCAATCAACTTGGGACCAACATGGGCATCTTTTTGGCCCAGGGGGTCTTAATCAGCTTCAAGCCACACAGAATGGCCCTCAGTGGATCCACTCGGACTCCTCAGGTTTCTCGTCCTACAGTAAATCATCCATGGTGCAAATCCCAACAGCAGCAAAGGTGAAACAACCGTGTTCCAGTGAGTAACGCTGTGCTTCCTGCCAGGTTCCCACTTGCATCCTAAGACCAGCACCCTCGAGTCCTGGTGGGCCGTGAGCTGTGCTGCCGGCCATTTTCCCGCTCATGCCCTAAGACCAGCACCCTTAAGTCTTGGCAGGCTGTGAGTGATG